AGGGTCACAGCTGATACACAGACAGCCACTCCCAGAACCTAAATCTTTCCTTCCTGTGAGTGTACTCTCTCCATTGGAGCCCACTCGATTGCCAGGTTGTCCTCCCCTAAGAAGTTCATAGAATTTCTGAAATCCAGTGGATTTTATTTTAAAGTCAAGATAAGCATATATGCCGTAGGACACTTTTAGGAGAGGTCCTGGTAGGCCCGACTGCCATTGGGTCAAACCTTGTATTGTGAATTCCTGCTCCACAACTTAATTATGCCCTGTGACTTTAGGAAATGGCCGTAATTTTTCTCAGCCTTCCTTTTCATTTTTTTCTATAACATGGAGATAAGGTTGCCTACCTTGTTGGGTTTTTGTGAGGATAAGATAATATTGTCAAATACATAGCATAGCTCCTCATTCCTTAGCCAACATAATAGTTGTTGCTGTTTAGAAGAAAGTTCTTCCAAACTTTTTATAATAATCTTTTTTAAAAAGTAAAACTCAATTTTTAAAATTTGACAATATTTAAGTGTTAAATTATTATAGTAGGAAAGAGACTTCAAAAACAAAATACTTAAAAAAAAATTATATTTTACTATAAGGCATGGTATATAATCCAAAAGATACAAGAAAGAACAAAATGAAAAGTAATTTTTCTTACTCTCTTTCCTCACAGCTACTAATTTTATTTTGCTGGAAACAACTTTTGTGTACCCTTATAGACATAATCTATGCATATACTCAATATGTTTTAAATATTAAATGACTTCTATCTTCACCTTCCTCTGTAGTCTCTTGCCAGGAGGGCTAACTGTTGAATCAGTAACTCTAGGTCAGTAGTGTACAATCTATTCTGTGACAGTAGAAGTGCTCTATGTGTATGTTGTCCAATAAAGTACTCACCAGGACATGAGTCTGTTGAGCTCTTGAAATGTGTAGCTCTTGCAATTGAAGAATGGAGTTTTACATTTTTATTTAATGTTAGTTAAATTTAATAACCGTAGGTCACTGGTTGGTGGCTACCAGATTGGACAATGCTGTGATAGATATTTATATTTATGGCACTTTTTACAAAAACACATGGACCTCAAATTGTGGAATTAATGAAAGAATCATATAGAACTACTAATTTAATATTAATTAAAGAAGTCTATAGGTTAATATATTTTAAATTACATGTGGCTAATATATTTTCTTTTTAAATCAAGTAAATAAAGAGAGAGATGGAAGTTTATTTTTGAGAACATGCTGCTAATCAGAGAAAGCTGTGAAATGGCATTTTTGAAGGAGAGCACTGGTAGGAGAGCAGATCTCAACCAAATTAGAGCATAGGCTCATTTACCGTTCATTCAGGAAATATTTATCGAGTGCCTAATATGTACCATGCATAGGCTTTAGGAGTACAGCATGTAACAAAACCTAGACAAATCCCTACCCTCCTGAAGTTTTCACTCTTTGCTAATGAATGCCTCTCATTATTTGGTGCCTTTTTTGTGTTGTGTTCCACGGGATGTCAGCAAGCAACAGAGACCTCTGCAGAGACAAAGAAAGGAACTGGCTCAAGGCCTTGGCTTTGATTGCTACTGGTACCCTGAACTTCCTTTGGTAAAGGAAAAAGCTTCAGAGGAAAGTAGTTCATTCAGCTACTAAAAATTCTTTATTTAGCAGTATCAACTTACTTATTTCTTCAGTCAGCCAACTCTGGGTTGGGATACTAGTAGGGAAAAAAAATGAAGTGTGCATGTGTCTTAAAAGTACACATAATTTGAATGTAAAAAAGCCAAGATATTCTAGAATAAGCCTTTTAATATTCTTTTACTGGAAGGTACAATTAAGAAGCTCAGAATCTTGATGATCCATTACTTCCTCATCTTTCTGCCCTTGGGGAAGGTCTGAAGTCTAATTTCTCTATCTTTTGGCTTTTACATTAACTCCCCCAAAGAGTGATTAGCATTTTAGTTAGTCTTAGCATTTTATTTGATTTATTTTATTCTTTTTACTCTTCTACATTTTCAAACATTTCTAAGTTTGAAACATGTATTATGTTTATAATAAAAACAAAGAATAATAAATTATATTGTAAAAAATCGTCCATAGAGAGGTGATGAAAGCCTGAAATGATTCGACAGGAGCAAAGCTCAAGAAGAGAAAGTGAATTTGAGAGGAAGATATTTAGGAAGTAGAACTGACAGGGTTTTGTTTACAATAGTGAGAGGAGATTGAATAATAAACATTTGTTTTATGTAATTGCGACCTTTTTAAAAGAAAGACAAATGTAGCATAACAAAATAAAGGTGAGTTTTTTCATTTGTATTTACAACAATCAAATGTAAAATATGTCTCATTATTTTCAGTCATTCATCTGTTTAAGATGATATACCAAGTAGTTTTTTAGTCCACAATAAAAATGAGTGTACATTTTGAGTCATTAAAAAAGCTTGCCTGAAATAAGGAGTTTATTTCTTTATAAACTTTTGTTTTTGACTTACTAATGTAGTGATAATAAAACCCACTTGTGAGAATATCTTACCATGTTAGATGTTGAACTTGAAGAACAAAAGAGAAGGCCTAAAAGATAAAAGCCCGTAAAATAGATGTTTGAAGAGCATAAACTATACACCACATTCACCAGACGGGCAGTCATTCTCTCTTAAAGGTGTTAAAAATGTATGTCCATGCTTTGAAGGAAGGATTTTACAGCAGGCTTCTAGAACTCACCTCGGACGTCCACTTACAGGATCAGAATGTTCCAGTCATGCTGATAACCTTTAGAGAAGCAAATTCTCATGAGTTCTCCAGTCAAAACAAAATATGTAGCTGATTGTAAAATTAGTGAAGTATTAAATTGTACTCTGATTTCTGTTAAACAAGTTTAGTATTGCTATTTTCTAGCATTTTTATTTTTTTTAGAGATAAGTATGTATGGCTATATGCATTGACAATACTGGTCTGTGTGGAAAAGGGGGAAAGTGAATAAAACAATGTATCCCATTTTGTTATTTCCATGTGTGAAAACCAACCCCTAATGAGATGTCCCCAAACAGTGCTGCTGTTCATCAAAACATGTGCCCTAGATCTGAGTGAGTTTAATTATCGTGGGGACAGTAAAATGAGGACATTCAAATCAATTTAAAGTACAGAAATTCAGGTTAAGAAGTAACATATCTCAGGTTGCAAAGAACTCATTTTTTTTTTTTTTGTCTCTTTTCTTTCCTCCTTAGAAGAAATAATTTTTGGAAGTGGGCAGTAAGGTTCATCTCAAGTGTGTTTTTGATAAGCCAATATATCAGAACAAGATCAGCACCTCTTTTTGGATACACAGATCAGCTCTTTGCATAGATCTTTCTAAGCAGAGGACTGATCTCTTTGTGATATCTAGGTTACTGCATATTAATTTTAGCCACATACAGTAATCTTGATCGAGACAGAAACTATTTTATGAGGAGCATTATCTGACTCAACTCTGCAAAGAGCCACCTACTCTTTTACCAAAAAAAAAAAGTTTAAAATTTGAGGATAGAAAATGTGTTTACTGAATATAATTCTATTTTATGAGTCTCCAATTTTCCTTGATTTGTTGTTTTGTTTATTTTGTTTAACAAGTAAACATAAAATGATAGCTAAATTAAAGGATGAGTATATTCATCTATAATTTTTTTTTTTAGCTATCCCTTCTTCTAGGCCATATCTCATTTATTAGCCAATGAAAGTCTGAGAATTTGGCTGTTCAGTTCAATGAGTAACAGCCTAGTTGAAATATTTTGTCAGAAAATGGGACCTTTATCTCAAAAGCTGAATGTGTTAACATATCTTACTATGCTTAGTTCTCGTGTCATTATATGATTGTATTAGGGGATATTTTATTATTTCTGTTTGTTTGTGTTATATGTTGACACATACTGTCTTAATTGATCTTAATAAAAGACCCTGTTAGATAGCTAAGCCTCAACAAAAGGCCTCTCTAGACTGTTAAATTGACTTGTCCAACATCACAGAGGAAGGCCCCATAAAATCAAACCTCAGTTCCTAAATTATCCTACAGTTATTTTTCTCCTCAAACATTTCTTTTTCTGTGTCCAACATCAAATTGCATAGATGCTCAAGAGAGCAAAAGAAATAGACATGTGTAAGAGAAAGCTGACTGTGCCTAGATAGAAAGGGAAAAAGGGTTCTAATTAATAAATATTTACTTATGAGCAGACTGCCACTTATAGTAGAGGCCAAGACCTTTGTTCTCTACATTCTGGCAGGGTTAAACATTCTTCAAGACTAGTAAATACAGAGTGACAGATCATTTAATTAGAGTGATATCTCAATTGGAAAATATTTTGAGTTATTGAATTTCAGTGAATTATGATAAGCTTCATTTTTTATACATCTTTGACTCGTATAGAATTGAAAACAAAATATGTTAACTAATGCATTAGCTATTAGTAATCATAAATTGTCATTATGGCATTTTCTCTCTCAGAAAACGCAGGTCTTTCTTCAGTTCTACTGTCACATGTATAAAGGAAAAGAATTAATTAGACCTAAAACAGTTCGTTCCTTTCTAAATCTTTATACCCAGCACGTGAAACAATTGTAAAGGATTTCTTTTTTAAAATGTGCTTGCCCATTAGTCCAAAGATACCATTGAACACCAGAAACACTTAAAAAATTGTAACACTCCGAACATAGTAATATATTTAGGTAACTATATCTTGAAAAAAATATTCAACATTAGTGGCCTATAGAACAATCTAACTTTAACTCAGGTCTAGAGCACTTCTTATTAATCTTCTGAGACATTAATATTGAAAATATAAAATTGAGGAAAGGCCACAGGTCTCTATATAAGAATTTTTAAGTAATTAGGAAAGAAAAATGTAACATGAAAATGTAATTAACAGTAACATAAAAAGTTTTCTACATCAGTTTGTTTCTTAAAGTCCAACAGCATGAAATTAATGTAAGTCCTCCTAGCAAATCATTTCTCCAATGTTTTTCTCTTTTTTCCTTCTCATTCCTAGATTGAAAAAGAAAAAACAAGCCAAACAAAATGTAGAGGCAGCCTCAGCTATAGCTACAAAGACTCATGCTGGAAAAGAAGATGTTAATACGGTCATTTTAGAACAAGACAAGTGCAACAATGCTGTGGAAGAGGAATATATTACTGATGAGAAAAAAAAGAGAAAAAATAATCAGTTAAAGGAGATCAGATGTACAGAACTAAAGAGATATTATAATATTGGTGAGTATTGGCAATATTGCAGAATTTTTATTTTAAAAATCTGTAGTAATTTTTAAGGCTGTAATTTGTAAATGAGCATAATAATAGTAAGTTTATTGAGAAGCTACTATGTGTCAATGGCTCATGCTTTATATACATAATCTTGTTTAAAGGGATGAAAATGAAAATAATATTGGTGTGTCTCATTCAACTTTGGGTTCCCAGCTTCTAACACAGTGTCTAGCAGATAGTGTATGCTAATAAATACTTATCAAATGAATGATCACTCTCCCTTTGTGGGAAATATTTTTCTTAATGTATATAGACATATCCATAAAACTGTTGATAGAAATGCCTACACCTTTTGGCATCAGCTAGGCAATTGAAAATAGGTGGAGATGTGGCCTAGCATCTGTCAGTTAAAAAGAAAAATGATATAGCATTTTAGTTAAGGAGATCTTAAAATGAGTATATTCTATAGTTTTTGAGAATAGCCATTGCATCTGAAACTGTATCAGCAAAAGTGGCCTATCTAGCATGATGAAAGTGATAATCCTGCTTTACTTGAATCATCCATCTCACACCTATCGCTCCTGTCACGTGTTCGAGTATGTTCGAAAGAGACTGCAAAGAAAGGGAACCAGGAGAACCTGATTTGGCATACAAGTTAGAGTATACGCAAGATTGCTAGGCTGAGAAAGAGAAGACTGAGGGGTCTCCGAGAACACGCTGCAATTTCAGTATATGAAACATCATCTTGTAGCAGAGACTTGTTCCAGAGGGCCGCAAACTCGGTTAATGCCAAAGTTACCAAGAAACAGATTATGTCTCCATGTTTAATATAATTTTCTAACGGTGCTCATAAAAGATAAAATGGGCTGCCACTGGGATGGTAATAAGTTCTGTTTTGCTGACATTGCTCCAGCAGAGGTAGATGAGGTATCCGTAGCAGAAAGGGCGTGGTTTCTAGCATTCCCATGGGCTAATGTGATTAGATCATATAGTGCATAGCTTAATGTATGCTTTTAATATCAAGCCGTTCAGTATTTTATAAAAATAAAATAACTGCCAACCTATTGAAAGACACTCGTGTGATTAATAAACTTCCTCTTAAAATTTAAAGTGTTGAGTATTATCCCTTATTTCCAAAAAGAGGAAGAGGATTAAGGAAAAATTGCATTTCACATCTTCTTTTACATGATTTATACACATTAGACATTTGAAAATGGGTGGTTTTTATAGTTGTGCAATTTAAAATATTGTCCTTTTCCTTACTTTAAATGTTGTTGCTTAAGAAGTATTTTAAAGTGGAGACGTTTAGCTCTGTAGGGTTTCTCTGAAGGAGGCTGATAGTCCTGTTCGTTGAGGTTTCTTTTTAGCGGTGCTGCTAACTGTGGATGCGGCATTAAGATTGCTTTTTAATGTAGTGCCTTCTGTTGCACGTCTAATGCTTTGGGTCTGAAACAGTACCTTTCACTCTGCTCTTTACCTAATTCTTGACTTCACACAATCAGCTCAGTCATCATTTCTTCCAGGAAGCCCTTCACTGATCCTGTCCAGCTTAGAGTTCCCTTCTGCACTGTCATCATGGATTTATTTATCTGCTTCCCTATTTATAGGTTGTTGTGACTTGGACATACATACATACATACATATATATACATATGTATACATGTTAGTATAATATTGGGTCAGAATTATCCTGTGATTTTATTTGGTAGCAATAAGTAAAGAGACGCTATTATAGCTTTTCAATTTCTGTTGAGAATGGCAATGATGACAAATGATTGAAGACTTGGGGCATGTTCTTCGGAGAACCCAGTGCTTAGATAAAACTACTAGATGGGCCTTTGGATTCCAGGGTTCCTTTGTTTCTTTTCACATCTCGCTCTAGCTGACAAACCCATCTTGGCAGGTTTGCCACATATCATAGGGCTCACATGCATTTCCCATAGATTCCTATTCCAGGATGTTCTTCTGTACCACTAGGTGGAGCCTGAGACTCCAAGTGAAGGGTAATCCCAGTTCCAGCTCACTGCTTTCAGTGGCTCTAGTCTGGGGAGAAGTCACTGAAATGGGAGGATCTTGTCTGCTGCAATAAGGGTCTGGACTTGATCCTGTAGTCATTGGGGGAACTCTATTAACTCTTTGTTTTAAGATGACAAATCTAAGGACAGTGGGTGGAAGTGGGGGCAGGTTGGAGATGGGGGCAGATGAGCTAAGGCATCCCGAGGAGAGAGTTTGCTCTTAGAAATAGCAGTATTTGGTGACTTATGTATAGTGTGTGAGAGAGAAAAAGAACAGTCAAGAATTTTCAAACTCGAAAACTCAGGAAAGAGGAAAGAACATGATAAATTTGTGCTAAGAAATGTTTTTGAGATGCCAAGTGGATTAGGTTAGAGAAATCTAGATTAGATTTCAGATGAAAAGCCTAGAAATTACTACAGGTATGAGGTAAATCTATAAGTGTAAAAGAAGTCATCAGGCAACACACAGAGAGTCTAAACATTAATGGATAACAGATGATAATAAATTTGTAGAAAAAAACTAGAAGGATCTATAACAGTATATTGATAATTGTATTCTATGGGTATAGAAATTGCAAGGGAGTTTGGTTTTTTGCATGTTACACATTTTATAGTAAGTTTTAACTTTAATCAGGAAATATAGAAAACTGAATAATAGAGTAAACCCAAAGACTTTGCAAGAATAATGTTAGACAAATGTAAAGTTCTATAATCAATATAAAGAAAAATACTTTCTGTAGCAATCTGTTTTCACATCTATAACATTACCTACCTGATCTAAAGAAGCATACTTTGACAAAATAATTTTTACTTGTTAAATTAGATTGATCTGTGCCTCATGTAAGCCTTGGGTAATAATTCGTTGCTGTTTCTTGACACTTAGAAGGACACAACAGTTAAGATACCGATAAAGATGGCGTAGAAAGATGTAGTCACAAGAATTGCCTTATTGTAACAAAATGGTGCCATTTTAAGAATTCATGACCAACTGACTTTAAATCAGAGGTTCCTATACCCCACTCCTTGGGTTTGATTAATTTGCTAGACTGGCTCATGGAACTCAGAGAAAAGTGTTACTTACTAGATCACCGGTTTGCTGTAAAAGGAACAGCCATTTGGAAGAGGTGCATAGGGCAAGGTAGGCAGAGCTTCCGTGCCCTCTCCAGGCCACCACTCTCCCTGCATCTTCATGTGTTCACTAACCTGGAAGTTCTCTGAACCCCACCCTCTTGGGGTTTATGGAAGCTTCATTACATAGTCATGATTGATTAAATCATTGGCCATTGCGGGGTTAATTCAACCTCCAGCCCCTCTCTCCTCCCTGGAGGTCAGGAGTTGGGACTGAAAATTCCAACCCTCTAAATCACCTGGTTGGTTTCATTGGCCACCAGCTGCCATCCTTAGGTGCTTTCCAAAATTCACTTCATTAACATAACAAAAGACACTTTTTATCATTTTCAACATAGGAAATTCCCAGGGTTTGGGGAGATGTGAATCAGAAATTGTGGACAAAGTCTAACTATATATGAGAAATATATTTTAGTCATCTTAGTGATCAAATATATGTTTATTATAAGTCACAATATTGGAATTTCCTGTCATTTTTCTTTGTTTCGCATAGCAAGTTCAGAAAAACAAAGTCATTTTATTTAGATAAATAAATTCTCAAATATAAAAGTGGGTCAAGCCAGAAATGTATAATAGTCTTGTTCTTCTATTAAAAAATAATGATCCTTGTACTTTAGAGCTCAAGTGACAAAATAAGTATTAAAATGGACTTTCATATAGAAAGAGATTATCAAAAATCTAATTAATACATTGTTAAATCAAACAGAATATAAAGACTTGAGGGACTTGGGTATAAAGTAAATTGAAATTATTAGGATGGAAATAATTAGGTTTTTGCTTCTTGGGGCCATCAAGGAAGTCAGAATAATGTGTAAATGTAGTCATACCATGAAAACTAAGTGGTGAACAGGACATAGTGAGCCCACCAAAATGTACAAGAATTTTGCGGAAGGACTACAAGTGATAAGAGAGAAGATGACGGATATGGGAGGCTGAAATGAAGAGTCTAAGAATCAAAGGTTTTCTTGGTGAAGAGGTCAGAACAGTAGAAATGGAAGGAGTAATCAAACATAATAAAGAATGATTTCTTGAGCTGAAACTCATACCTGACTTTAGAAATCAAAAGAACTCACCATATGTAGACAGAATTAAGGGGGAAAACTCAGCACTTAGATAAACTGTGACAAATGTTTACAAGTCATGGATAAATGGTGAAAAAACAATCTTTACCTACAAAGGAGCAAAGAAGAGAATCTGGCACAGATTTCTCTACAGCAGTGAACCCAGAGGAATTAAATATTTTTTAGAGCTGTGAAGTGAAAGTTGTTTTTTATGCTCAGACATCAGAACATTCTCAGACATACAGGGTCCCAGGAAATATACCTTTAGTGGAATACCTTTCCTGAAACAAAGTTACTGAGAAAGAGATGTTCCTTTCTGAGACATGTCAAAATCCAGTCTTCAAGAAAGAAAGTCATTTTATAAAAGAATTGGTGAGCATTGCAATTAATTTAACGTAAAATTAAAAATACATAGCCAATGGTAAACACGGTTATAAGCACGAATATAAAAAGACATCATAATTCTTTTTTCCAGCTTTATTGAGATATAATTGACACAACATTGTGTAAGTTTAAGGTTTACAGTATGTTGATTTGATGCACACACATGTGCATGTGTGTGTCTGTGTGTGTTTATTACAAAGTGATTATCACCATAGCTTTAGCTAACACCTTCATCAGGTCACATGATTACGATTTTTTGTGTGTATGTGGTAAGAACATCTAAGAGCTACACTCCTAGCAACTTTGAAGTGTATATATTACAGTATAATTAAATATGTTCACCATGCTGTGCATTAGATCCTCAGAACTTATTCATCTTATAACAGGAAGTTTGAACTCTGTGACGAATATCTCCCCGTCT